AAAAAATTGATACAGAGCTTTAGAATATCGATACAGTATCGGGAAATGAAATATCGCGATATTTCAGTGTATCGATATTTTCTTACACCCCTATATTTCATAGGAGTGTAAATCACCAGATTAATGATGGCACCTGCACAATTTCTGTGTTGATAAACAGAAATTGCATCAAGACAGATTTTAATCATGTGATTCTATCCTGTAACTGTTTGTTAAAGTTATATTTGTTTTACTGTATATCTTAACGTACTGTTACCCATCCTCTCTCTCTAACTTCTCAGTGGAGTTGTTCCTTCAACCAAGTGAACTCTTCTCCTTCTAGTGTGGTCAGATTAGCTCTGTGTGCCAATGACCTAAAGTCAAAGGTTTAGCCCAGCAGATGTGATTTACACAAGAATAGTTCAGACTCAGGATTAACTCCCAACTGTGCACAATTTCTTAGTTTACTCAAATACTAATGAAATCACCTAACTGTAGGATTAGCCTTATAACTTGTGAAAATACATCCTGACAGGTTAACTCCACCTCCTGTGTATCCAGACGTCCACTGGAGTCCAGAAGATTAGACTAATTGGACCAAATCCCTGCCGTCTGCTGGTCTCTTTGCTTTTCTAGATACTGGTTTGAGGATTAGTGGCAGCTGACAAGCCAATGGGAAATGGTGAAGGTGCAGATGGGTCGGGGTTGTCTTTGGCTACCTGAGCGTCACTGCAGGTAAAGCAAACGCTGCCTCTTCGAGAGGAGATGCTACAGCTCAATGTGAGTACAGATTCTTTCATTCATAGATCTAAAATTTACTCTAAAAAGGAAGGAGGGCAAATTTTTATGAGTTTTGTGKTTTTTTTACTCTTTTAATTAATGAAAAATTAGCAAATTGCTTAAGAGAGATAAAACTTTTTCAGAACGTCTGAAGTTTGTCTTGCATCGAACATGTGATTAAATTTAATCATCAGTTAGGGCGAATCACCTGCAAACAGCATCATGGAGAGCACTTATTTAACTTTAAAGATAAAAACAAAAAGATCTGTGCCCCTCTTCCTGCAGGAGCCCCCTCTGAAGCAAATCTCTGCACCCAACAAAGACCAACCTCTAAGGAGGAGGGTTTGGTTAATCAGGCAGACAACTTCAGGCAGAAGGAAACCCTCAAAGCGTTAGCAGACTCCTGGTTCTCATCAGAGTGACGGGATTTTCTGAGGATGGGGAATCAACATGGGACAAAAGCGAAGCCCAACTGTTACAGGCAGAGCTGGGATGCTTCAACGGGATTTCCCAGGACCCTCGTCCCCCAGAGGAGGAGGAGGAAGAGGAAAATGACAGCAGGGAGTCAACAGAAGCCTCTGCATAACGAACGGATCGGACTCCACAGGACGAGTTCTTCCACCTTCAGTGAGAGCTGGACTTCATCACAGATATTGGAGCCAGTTTGTAGGATGAAGCTGATTGATGCAGCTCCTGTGAGATCGCTCAGCAAGAGAAAAAGTTCCTCTTTCAGAAAGGATTTCACCACATCGGACGACTCGGACAGTGACCTCTCTGAATACRATAATGAAATGATCGCCATCTTTAACGCTTTGAAACAAAAACAGGAAACTGCGGAGGTGAAGTCCCGTCAGGAGGCAGCTCAGAGAGTGATGACCAAGATCCAGGAGGTGGAAGGGATCCTACACCGAGTCAGCGTGGCCAGCTCAGAATGGACCAGAGCAGACAGCGACGAGAGCGATGAAGGAACTCTGCTGAGACCACCAGTCAAGTCTCAGACTGGTGAAGACAGGACAGTTGAGGAGCTTTATGWCGCTCTGATCCAGAGTCTGCACCAGGTTCTGAAGCTGGAGGCAGGAAAGGCTGAGACTGAGGACCACCTGAAGCCACCATCACCTCCACACCATATCACTCGTGCTGTTCCGTCGTCACACAGTCTGTCAGGGAGGGCAGAAGTCTCCCCGCCCACCCTGTCTGAATCCAGCAGCTTTGAAACTTTGTCCCCTATCCTGTCCTCTCCTCTGCCACCCTGGCCGTCCGTCAGGACCCGTCAGCAAAACGCAGGAAGGCCTGACGATAACAGCACTGGGAGCAACTCAGGAAACGACTCCTCGCTGATTGCTTCGGAGGACGGAGGCTGTAAAGGTGACACCAGAAGCACAGGAGGAGCAGAAAACCTGCTGTCTTCAGGTAAAAACATTAAAAACAGCAGGGTTTCCAGTGGGTCTTCTGCTTTTAATTTATTGCCTTATTGGCTGCAGTATTTGCATAAAAATTCTCATTCAACGGAATTTGACAGCATTTACATTGTTTGAAATCAGGTTTAAATGTAAGAGGTTTTAAAGGGATCCCCGATTAGTTGTAACATTAGATTTTATTTGATAAACATACATTTTAACTGTAAAATAAAAACTGTAAAAATACTGTAGGATGTTCAGTTTTTATAATTTTTAAATTAAAAGTTCAAAAATATATTTTAACATGGACGGGGCCATTTTATTTACACGCAAAGCATTCTGGGTAAATGATGACGTGGATAGGTCCTCGGTGCGAGGCTGCTAGCGAGCTATATCCACCCTGAAGGTTAATCTTGGACAATATCTGATGATCGACTCTTTTAAATGAAACCAGAGAGCGTTGACAGAGAGGAGAAGGTAGAAATGACTCAGCCTGGAACTGAAAATATGGATGGAGGACAACAGAGCTGCTTCATGGAAGAACAACCTCAGATTAGCCTGTTAGTCTTCGTGCTAGCACTGACGCTATATCGCCTTATATGTATTAGCTCGGTGCTAGCGCGACAAACAAGCTAAACTGTTGTCCTCCATCCATATTTTCAGTTCCAGGCTGAGTCATTTCTACCTTCTCCTCTCTGTCAACGCTCTCTGGTTTCATTTAAAAGAGTCGATCATCAGATATTGTCCAAGATTAACCTTCAGGGTGGATATAGCTCGCTAGCAGCCTCGCACCGAGGACCTATCCACGTCGTCATTTATCCAGAATGCTTTGTGTGTAAATAAAAATGGCTCCGTCCGTGTTAAAATATATTTTTAAACTTTTAGTTTAAAAATTACAAAAACTACACATCCTACAGTATTTTTACAGTCTTTATTTTACAGTTAAAATATATGTTTATTAAATAAAGTCTAATGTTACAACTAATCCTGAATCCCTTTAAAATGGTTAAAAACTTTACTTCAGTGATTCCCCCTGTAAAAATAAACAAAATTAGAGTGATTATAATTTGAGCATAATTTAAGGTATTTTGTGTGCCTGCATGCATATTAAATGTTAAAATGCAAATTAAATTTTATTTAAACAATATATTTATGCAATTCAGAGAACTGTGTATTTACTGCTCGCCACCAAAATATGAAAGGATGTATTGTTGTTTTTCTCCATGTCTGTGTTCTTGTGCTTGTTAGCAAAATATCTCCAAAGCAACTAGACCAGGAGAGCCTAAACATGTTCCCCCATTCTGCGGGTGTTTGTTTTCTTATCGTAAGATCTTAGTTTAAAACTTGGGCATTAAACGCAGCAGCCATTTGCAACACTTTATTGATCACTACATCTTTAATTTATTTAAAGTTACATGTTTTTTATCTAAGTGAATAAATTGTCTCCAGTTTAAATTCAGTCTGGATGTCTAATAAGACAAAAACTTCAGTAAAAGCAGTGTTGGATTAATAACATTTGACATCAGATGCTTTCATTTTTTACTATTTAATTAAAAGATTCACAGCGTGACTCAGTGAAGTTAGTAATTCATCTTGAAATGGATGAAAGACAGAACTAAAAAGCGATCAGAGGTAAAAACAATGTGACTTTGACTTTTAGCGGTTGAGTCGAGTGAAGATCAGAGGAAAATCAGACACACGCTGAGCTCAGACGTCAGATTTATGGATTTAAACCCTGTGTTTCCTACTGCAGCCTGATTGTTTGGACCCRTCCACCTGCAGGATGTGCAGCAGCCTGAAAATAATCGCCTCTTGCTGTTTGATATAATCACTCAGTCACGGAGAACCACACAGCCGCTGAAGTGGAAAACTGTGGGTCTGGGTTTGCTTGGACCTCAGATGTTACCACAGATATCAGAAAATGTGAAAGAGTTTGTGCCTTTGAGTGAAAGAGTTTTAGACTGTTAGCAAGCAGTGGAGAGCACAGCTAACCAAATGTTTGCTTCACTAACCACTAACCTGTAAACAATAATCTTAGCTCCGCTAATGCTAAACTGCTAAACAGTTAGAAAAATTAGTGGAAGCTAACGCTAACCGCTAAGACTCTTAGCAGGATTGAAAATCAGCTAATCCAAACCAGTTGTAGCTCTAACTTGTGATACTTCCAGTTTAACCCTTCCAGAATAAAAGCATTTCTTTGATCGAGCTTGTATTTTTTTAAATACCGTTTCAAGTTAATCAAACCACAAATATTCGCTTTGCTTCATTTCATACGTAGTCGAGTTTTGTATTTGTTATTTAAATCTTGTGAAGTTTTATTTTATTTGTGTTTTGACATTCTTAGTTTGAAGTTTAGCTGCTAAAGATGCTACATGCTAACACACGGTACCTGACACACCCAGCACTGCTTGTAAGACGGGGTAGTTTGTGTTTATTTCTGTACAGAACCTGTTGTTGTTTCCAGGAGTTGAAGTTTTATGACCGAGGTGGTTTTTGACCTTTTGTTCTCCAGACGATGCTCTGCAGAGGCAGGAGGAGACGGAGGAGACGTGGCAGCAGGAGGTGGAGGAGTCTCTGTCTCGCTGCAGGTCTCTGTTTCACCCGTCCCGACCGAAGCACGTCGACTTCCTGCGCATCACTCCTGAAGATGATGATGATGATGATGTCACAGACACACCTATGACCACACCACAACGCCAACTGAGGGTGAGAAGAGTAAATGACTTGGTGACTTTAAACAAAAAGTGTTGTTTTCTGTGTTTTTTACTGATCCATTAGTTAAAGCCAGTATTGCAGTAGAAGAGATTTGTTCAGTAGCTTATGTTCTGCCCACTCCTTTTGAGTGCATGAAAACTGTATATTTGTAATGTTTCTGTTACCTTCTGTTGTGTTCAGAATAATTTGTTCCTTACACCTTATTAAAACAAATACTGCAAAATTTCATCACTGCAAATTTCATTAATACGCTTCTTCAAGTTTAAAAATAGTAATATTGGTAACAAACTAAATTATTTTGTTAGAGTGTGGTCTTTAACACATTTCAGTTTAAGTCAGATGTTTACATACAGTAGTTTGGTTTAAGTGCTTAGTTTTCACTGCTGCGTAGGAACACAAATCTTTGCAAACAAAAGTCACCGTGGTCTCTGTTGTCTTTAAGTTCTGCTGAGAATCAGCTGAAAATGTGAGTGATTCCTTAGTTTCTTTTATTTTGCTCCAGACAACTTGTTATCGACAGCTAATGTTAGCGCTGAACGTCAGTCGAATGTAAATATATGGCAAGCCAGGAGTGACAAAATATAGAAACGTGTTTCAGATGCAGACACATGACGCCATAGGGAGGAATYGATCTCATGCCGTGAATTGATTTTCCTAAATTTAAATTAAATCGATCCAAGATCGATTAAATCGATTTTTTTTTTACCCAGCCCTATTACGTATTCTGTCTCTGTTGCTTCACAGAAAATACCATTTTAGGCTGATGAATAACTTGCAAATAAGAAAAGTGCTTAAACTAAAGTTGCAGAATACAGGAAAATACACTTTTTAATCCTGTTTATTTACAATCTGAGATTCTGTTGCCTTTTGTTAAACATACGTTTTAATCCCACTTTATAGGATTATCTGCATGATTAATTGTTACATAAAATCACAAATTAAAAGGCTAAAAGCTGGATCCGTGAATGAATGCAAAAGCACTCTATTCAAGTCTTAAAACCTGACTGAAAGTACACAAGCATGTAATAAAATACAATATTATCACTCGTGGTCTGTCACTGACCTGCTGCTTGTGATGAGAGTAAACACGGGTGGAACCTGAAAAATAAGAAAAACAAACAGAAACTTAAGAAGGTGGAAGTTTTTTTTATTGTTATGTAGAAACAGTTTAGAAAAGTTTCTTTTCTACTTAGTTTAATGWAACTGCAACTTTTGATTTTTAAATACAAACATTTAGCATGTTTTCACACAAAATATGCATAAACCTAATTATTTATATAATTTTAATCAAGCTTTACATTGATTACAATTTTTGAAAAGTGTGCCATTTATAATATTGTTTTGCTGTTGATTTATTTGTACATTTAGCAAACTGCAAACTATTTCTGCATTTTTCATGCTACTTTAGCCATTTTACTCTTTGCTGCTTTGTAGCTCCTGGCTAGCCTTTTGCTACTTTTAGCTCATCTTTTGCTACTTTTAGTTAGCCTTTTGCTACTTTTTGTTAGCCTTTTGCTACTTTTAGCTAGCTAATTTGCTCCAAATTATTTTAGAAAATCTTGTTTCTACGTTTAATCCAATTTTTTATTTGCTTTTATCTAAAGTTTTTCTGACATTTCGTCATTTTCTCTTATAACATAAACAGTTTGCATTATTTGTCATTAAGTTAAAGAGAAAAATAACAAAAGACTTAATTATGAGGTCAGTGTATTATGTTAATATGATTACGTGAAATTTGAAAAACAGATCCAACGTTTTAAAGACATTTTCAAGCAATAATCAGAATTGTCGTACTTTAACACTGCCATAAATCAAACTTTTCTGTTTGTTTTATTATTGATCTCGTGCACCRGCCTGAGTTTGAGCTGATTAAGGGGCGTTGTAATGTTTATGTGGAGGCACTGTAACATGAAGAACACCTGCAGTGAAGCTCAGAGAGCTAATTGGCAGAAGACTTACAGGACAAATGTTTAACCAGTGATCCCTGGAAGTCCTGKTTACGCTCTTGGGTGTGGTGTTCTTCCATCTGTTCTGGCTTTTTTTGTGAGACGCCCGGCTGTTGTCAGAGCTACCATCTGTTTCTGATTACCCTGAGACCATCTGCAGGACGACAAACCGTCAGAGCAGGTTGAGGAAGACGAAGCAGGACTCACAGAGGCTGAAGCTGGAACTTTAACTACACCGAGTCAACACATCCATCACCGCCACGGAGAGGTTCTGGGAAACTTCCCGTGATTTTGTGGATTTCTCTCCTGCAGCCGGCTCGTCAGAGTCACTGAGAGCTGGTTGCTTTTTATTTTTTTAATTCTATCTATTCGGAGAACAAAAAGGACAAATGTGTTTATTTTCAACAAAATGGAGTCGCTACAGGTTGGATTTTCAGGCATGATTCRGACTTTAACAGCTACAAAAATCCCTGCAGTTATTTCATTAGATGTGTTCATGCATGTCTTTTGAGTGCCTGAATAGTACCGCCTTGGTTTGTTTTATTTTTAGGTTTCTCCTATAATAATGTGAAGATTTGCCATGTTCCTCTTTTCTGTTTTTATGAGCACATTCGACTCAGCAAACAAAGCAGCCAAAGTTTTCCTGGAAGAGCTAAACTRAGACTTAATACTGACAGCGTTATTCTTAATTATATTGGTGATTTGAGACCTAAAAACACTTTAAAGTGTTCAATAAATTTCCTGACCAATGCTACAATGCCTCAGGAAAGTGAAAAACTTTTCACCCTGTTCAGAAACTTGCTTTCTGGGGAAGAAGAAGCAGAAAGAGATGCACCTTTGATGCCAGGAGGAGAGAAAAGTAGAGCTTTAAACATTGATAAAAAGAGCGTCAACATGAAAGAAGTTATCGACTGTGATGAAGAGGATTCATCACTGGACAAACATCATATTTCAACTGTTGACACCGAACTAAACGAGACAAACAGCCGTGAAACTGCAGAAGATGAGTCTGAAAAAGACATAMAAATAAAAACCAAACATCCTATAATAATCGTGAAAGTTACGGGACTCCAGGTTCAAGGACAGGAAGCAGAAATGGATGGAGACGAAGACGAGGTGAAATGCCTGAAAGATGAAGAAGAGAAGGAAAAAGATTTGTCTCCAGACTCCTGCCAAACTAATATTTTTTCAAATATCAGCTTGAGATCTGCAACCCACGTGTCTGATCTTTCACCTGGACCCACCCTCACCAGAGCCACGTTCTCCCCAGGCGAGAAACCAAACCAGCTTCCTGCTCTGTTCAGCGGTCTGAGGGGTCTCAAGAAGGGGGTCGGCGGGCCGGAGCAGGACTCCGTGGCTCAGAATAAAACATCTCCTCAGGATGTGAAAAAGTCCATTTTCACAGATAAACAGGATGACGTAAAGACTCAGGGGGGCTTCCTGGACCAGATCACCCAGCTTCTGAGTCGGGAAAAGAGGGCGGAGGAGAAACAAGGACCAGATGTGGGGTCTGAACCAAACCAGGGTGAAATCAATCCAACCAAGGCGAATGAAAATGAGAGAAATGAACCTAAATCAGACAAGGATTCAAAAGGTTCAGAGTGGGTCGAACCGACCAAACCCGTGTCCAGTGCAGAAGCAGCTTTTGATGCCTTCAAGGCCTTTTTCACCCCAAAACCTTTGAAGAAAGACTCGGGAGAAAAGGCCGACCTGGAGGCCACGAGGAAGAGGATGAGAAACGACAGGGATGTACTGAAGACGTTTTTTGAGAAAACTTCCAAAAACTCATCAGAGAAGGAGACGTCTGACGTCAGAGTAAGGAAGCATCACATTTTCAATAGTTTTCACAGAACTCTATTTGCTATATTTTATTCTGAGCTAAAAAGAACAAATAGAAACTAAACCCATCTCTGTCAGACACACAAAAATTCAAGGGATGAACACAAATCCAAAGCCATTTGGAGCTTTAAAAAAACACTCATAAGTTAAAAGTTTCTGTTGATTTCTCCTCAGACTGAGCCATCCACTCCAGGAGAGGAGAGGACGCCCGGACGTCTTCAAGCTGTCTGGCCGCCTCTCAAGGAGGAAAAGGTTGGGTTGAAGTATACTGAAGCAGGTACTGACTCGTGTACGAACAGAAATATTTGAGTTTTTTTGTTTTCCAGTGTTTGATCAAACAAGGAGCTCAACACAGTTATCAAACTCTATAACAGGGTGTAAGAAACTGATACACTGAAATATCACAATATTTTATTTCCTGAAACTGTATCGATTTGTAATTAAGGCTTAATGGATGGATGTTGCAGGAAGAAACATGAAATGCAAATGCAGTTCAGAGTTCTGACTGCATAAAACTGAATTAATTAGATTTTATGCATGTGATGCACGGTGTGCTCTTAAACTGTTTTTTCATAATTAAACTCTTTTGGAGCAAGAAATAGTGATATATCGCCTTGCTTACAGTATCATAATATATCGTGATRTATCATCATATGGTCACTATGGGTGCACTGATTGTAGTTTTCTGGCCAATCACCAATTTTTAAAAAGTCTGACCTGCCGATTATGATTTTGTCCGATATTGATTTTTTTTAAATAGCTGAAACTGTCGGGTTTTATAAGGTCACAATACACCTTCAATGTTCCAGTCTTATTTTATTGTAAAACATTGAAGAATACACTTGAAACAATACAAACTTGTTTTAACTGGACATCAGGCATTGGCTGATTTTCAGACATATGTGGAGGGAGATGAGAAGCCCATCCTTTTCCATCGATCTTATCTAAGTATCRACCGGTCTCTGAGCTCTCAAAAATAAAGAAATCTGTGCCGATAAATAAGTGCACCCCTAATCGTCACCCCTGCGCTGCGATATGTATCAGATCACCAAATTCTTGCCGATACACAGCTCTAATAAGACATAAAATAAGGGGGAGGGAGATATATGCATGCAGTTAGAGAGGACATGGAAGTAGTTGGAATGAAGACAGAGGACCTTTTTTTTATTCTGTTCCACATTTTCAGCATTATCATGTTTATTCTGCTGGTATCTCAGTGGCTCAGCTGATCATCAGGATTATAAAACCCTGTTCAAACAGGGATGAGCCTGAACACACCCACATCCTTTTAAACACAGTGATAGTAAATATGCTTTCTAATTGACCTGTCAGTACCTTTTCTCCTCCATTACCAGAGAAATGTTTGTTTGAACTGTTTGCAGCTGCAACCTGTGAGCCTGGGGTTTAGATTTGAAGCTTTGCTGCCATCTCCTGGGAACAATAATCAGTTCTTAGTGTTTGTATTCAAACAGATTCACTCAATGAGGCCTGAAGCTCAAACTGAAATTAAAWTTTTCCTCTTCTTGTTTACACTTCTACCCTCATCTATCTACAAACAACCCATCACTTTWAGCTTCTTCATTTTGGCATCTCCTGAGGTTCTACTGGTGTGGATGGTTGGATGGATTATTGCACCAAATATGATCTAATTCTAAATTATCTTAACATGATGCTTTTAAACAACAAGACATTATATAGAAAGAACATCAGTTAAATAAATTAGCACTGCATTCATACAAGCAGGATGTAAATTTGCTGCAAAAATGTTTTGTATTTATTTATTTATTTATTTTATATTTTTTATYKWTTTGGTCTTTGTTTCCTCTCAGAGCACCAGGCAGATCTCCTGCAGCTAAAGAGAGAATGCAAAGAAGAGCTGGAGAAGTTACAGGTCAGCATAAAGCTAGTTTTCTTCATGGGCTAAAGGAAAGTTTGTMAAAGTAACGTACATGTTTACGACAGCTTGTGGTCTTATAAACAACACTACTAACAAAAATACATTAATAATTTAATGGAAATGAAGAATTTTTTCTTTGAAGAAGATAATTTTGGTGATTAAGACAAAAAACAGTCTGACTATGAGCTAACTTTACAGAATAAAAGTCTCAGTAAAACAACACAAGACTAACCTGAGATTACTTTAGTTAGAAACTGGTTTTGTATGGATAATTTGAAATAAACTGAGTGTGGTCCATTCAGTCCCCTCTAAACCTCAGGTGGTTTTATCAATACGATAAACTGTTACGAAAAAGACAAAAAACATTTGGACTTTGTTTAGAGATTTGTGTCCATGACAGGATGGGTTGCAGTGCAGCTAACCCTAATGCAGCGCTAATGCTGACATTAAGCTAATGCTAACCAAGAGCTAAGCTAACCCTAACACAGTGCTAATGCTAACATTAAGCTAATTATAACCTAGAGCTAAGCTAATGCTAACCTAAAGCTAATAAGGAGCTAACCCTAATGCAGCGCTAATGCTAACATGGAGCTAATGTGAAGCTAAAGCTAATGTGGAGCTATAACTAACGCAGAGCTAGCATTAATGCTAAAATGGAGCTAATGCTTATGTAGAGCTAACAATAACGCAGAGCTAATCCTAACATGATGCTAAAGCGAAGCTAACCCCAACGAAGAGCTAATGCTGAGCTAACCCTAACGCGGAGCTAATGCTGAGCTAACCCTAATGCAGAGCTAATGCTGAGCTAACCCTAACGCAGAGTTAATGCTAATGTGGAGCTAACGCAGAACTAACACTAACTATAAACTTGCTTCTAAAACATAGCCATAATCCAGAGTACAAAGAAAGCCAGAAAATGCAAATCGATGTCACAATGTCAGTTAAAACAAACTTCCCTACAGCGAACGGTGGAAACAAATCTACTCAGCTGAGAATCCATGGTGCACTCAGCCAATCTGTCCCTTATGAACAGCAAAGTAAGAGCTGGAAGGAGGCATAATTTTAGAATATAGGGTAACTGATTTAGAGTCCAAAACATGCTAAAACAATTGTCACTATATTATTATTAGTATTATTGGATAAATGTCACAAATAATGCTAGAATTAATCATGATTAATTATATATCGTCCAACTTGACTGAGACTGTAACAAGTCTGAAATCTATGCTTGTATTTGATGTTACTTTCAGAAGAATTATGAGCTGCAGCTCTCCACCCTGAGGGAGGAGAACAGGAGCAGCGTCACTCATCTGGAGGTCGTTCTGGCTGAGCTGCAGGACCAACTCTGCCAGGTTTGGACTCAGAGAGAACAGAGAGACGCTGCCGTTTCCACAACAGGCGACGTTTTACACAAAACTTTCCACACCATTGGCGTCCAGACAGACAGAGACACTTTCGTCAAAAATACTGAGGAAGAAGAGGAGATCAGGAGAACTGATATGAAAGTTTCAAAGAAACTGGACCTGTTTTCCATCGGCCTCAGCCTGGCCGGTCAGAGGGACGACAGCTCGTCCTCTCCTTCATCACCTCTGACTTCAGTTCAGACGTTTCCAACAGCAGATTCAGAAGCTCCTTCTCAGATCACACCGACCAAAGGCAACACTCCTTCCCTTCCTCCTCCTCCTCCTCCACCCCCACCTCCTCCATGTAATGCTGCTCCCCCTCCACCTCCTCCACCAGGTGGAGCTCTCATTCTTGATAAACCCCCAAGGAAACCAGCGGTGGAGCCTTCCCGCCCCATGAAGCCTCTTTACTGGACCAGAATCCAGATCCAGGATGAAAAGTAGGTTTACACAAGATCACAAATTAAACACTAAGATATGCAATCAATCTACATTTATTTATACAGCAACAATTACCTGAGTATCCCCTCCATACCTATTATTTTTGTGTCGATGTCCTACATTCATCCATAGCTGTGTCCTTGTTGTATTATACATTTAGTGTCTTATTTTTTTTATTTACAATGTTATTTGATTGTGCTATTTTAGCTGATTACTTGATTATTGCTGTAACTGGGACGGAGAGTAACGCAATTTCAATTCTCTGTATGTTTTGCACAAATGAAGCATTGATAATAAAACTAMTTGAACTTGAATTACAACAACCAAACAGTGATCAAAGTGAGCCTCAGTACAAAAGTTAAAAAGAACATTTAGAGCATCAACTATTAAAAATCAAATAGTGCCACCAGGTTAAAGCCTGCCTACAGTACATACTTCATTAAGTCTGCCTTTAACAACACATTTAATAAGACCAGTTTAATAACATCTCATTACAACAACCTGATGTTTCAACACACTGTTACGATGCTATTTCAGAGGTACTTGAGACCATTTAGTTCTATGTTTCTCCCTCAGCAACAAGTCACTTTGGAACATCTTGGACGAACCAAAAATAATCAATGCCAACGAGTTTGAGGATCTCTTTGCTAAAAGTGCAGCGAAGGCTAAAAGAAAGCCTCTCTCTGAGGCTTATGAGAAGAAAGCCAAAACCAAAAAGGTAAGAACCTTAATGTCAGTGTCACGTTTAAGACAAGTACCTGTACACCTGTATTATTTAGGATTGAAAGGAAGAAGCAGGTATAGATGATGGATGGATGGATGGATGGATGGATGGATGGATGGATGGATGGACGGACGGATGGATGGATGGATGGATCTGGATGGATGGATGGATGGATGGATGGACGGACGGATGGATGGATGGATGGATGGATGGATGGATGGATGGAAGGATGTATGGACGGACGGATGAACAGAAGGATGGACGGATGGATGGACGGACGGACGAACGGACGGACGGATGAACGGACTGACAGATGGATGGATGGACAGATGAACAGACGGATGAACAGAAGGATGGAC